TATATATATATATATATATATATATATATATATAATCCTAGAATAAATATATAAACGTACGAAACGACTCTGTTCCGATTTATCGTTAATAAATAGTTTATTAGCATTACTTTCAAGACAAACAAACGAACAAACAAACAACATACATAATTATTGAGTATGCATTGAGTTGAGACGAAATACGTCCGTTTATACATCACAGTATATATCTCTGACACACATACACAAGCTCTCAGCGACAAAAGACTGAGATAATTCGCCCATCCGCCCAGCCTGACTCACAGGAACTGCTAGCCAATCAGCGTGTCCATAGGACGCTCTAAAAGACAATGCTTATCAACGAAGTGTGGTAACGTCTCCACCCTGACGAGCGCGCGTGAGAAACACGTACTAAACACGTGAGAAACACGTACTAAACACATGAGAACGCGTACTAAACACGTGAAAACGCGTACTAAACACGTGGAAACGCGTACTAAACACGTGGAAACACACGAAAACGCGTACTAAACACGTGAAAACACGTACTACGCGCGTGAAAAACCCGCACTAAACACGTGAAAACACGTACTAAACGCGTACTATAAACACGTGAAAAACGTGTATATATATCTTGACTGCGTGATCTTAACCAACTCAAGCAACTGTGTCCCAGCAGTGCGTCATCTCAGTCTGACGGATGGGTGAATTCTCTCAATAATAGCGATGACGTAGATTACCAATCAATAATATCAATAATATCGATGACGTAGTAGATGTATTGGCCGCTGTTCTATAGACCGGGTTAATCAACCGTGAAAAAAATCCAACCTCGTTAATATGAAACTGATCACCTAGTTGTCACGGTGACGTCACGTGCGTCGACGCTGTCACGCGATGACGTACACAAGATGTCACACGTTCTTTATCCATGCTGTCACATCGGTGTCGCGATGTGACGTCATTGTCTCCAAGTTGTCACGCTGGTGCGTCAACGATGGTACGTGGACCTCAATCAAAAATGTCACATGACAGAACTTCTAAAGTGACACAGTTTTACTAAGATGTCGCGTGTCCTTCCACTCCAGATATCCCTTAGTCATAACTGTCACATCATCACATGACCACGCATTAAAGATGTCACGCGTCCTTGCATCTAAATTGTCACATGTCCACGCATCTAAGTTGTCATCTGTCCTTGCATCCATATTGTTTCGTGAGACAGCATCCAATATGTCACCAGGCTTCCAATGCACCACTTGTTCATCTGTTAAAAATGTCACATGTTGCGGCATTAAATGTGTCACATGATTCAGCCTCCAAGGTGACTCATCAATGACGTCATCAAACGACAGGTGACGTCATCAATGATGTCACGTGTCCTTGCATTAACAATGTCATAAGTTTCACGTTGTTACGACGTCCACGACGTTGCTTGACCTTGAATTCATGATATCACGTGATCAACTCAGGTTTCGGCGATAGCTTCATCTGGTTTAACCATCTTTTTAACGCGCAGCATCCATAGCAGCATCCAAGGATTCTTCTAAGATGTCCATGCGACCAAAGTGTCAAATTGTCATACAGTAAAAATGCCACTTCTTAAGGTCACTTCTTCACTAGCCTTCAAGGCCTAATTGAAATGATGTCACTCAACGTCCAATATG